TTGGAAAGATGTGAGAGTTTGGTTTTGTTTTTAAATCAGCACCTTCATAGGGTGGAACTTAATGAGGTAGGTAGAAATTGATTCTTATGATTTCATTCAAAATAATCTGATACAAATGGTAGAAATGGTATCGTCAGTATATAAAAGATTTGTGTAGGATCAGCAGATGGCATGATTGTTAAGGCACTAGATTCTCACGTGGCTGACCATTGTTATAGTCCTGAACCCAGTGGCTTGAAAATCACACTGGACACGTGTGTGCGTGCCCAAGATCCAGAGAGGAGAATGGAGGAGAAGGGATTGCAGCATGGCCATCCCACTCTAGGGGATGATTTCTCACTTTCACTCTATCTCTGGTGAGCATGTGTGCCCTGTGTCAAAGGCAAAAACAAAAAACCTAAAAAAAAAAAAGAGTGGTGTACATAACTCCATTAATCTCTACTTAATTTAGTAGATCTTGCTAATGTGGAATAATCTGGCAATTCTGTGTTGTAAGCAATTTAAAATGAACTGATATGTATTAGGTCCTCAGGAAAGTCAGGACATATTTTACTATGTTTTTCTTTTTTCTTTTTTTTCCCTAATTATTTTATTTAACTTTCTTTCTTTCTTTATTTAAATATGACCAGAGAGGGACAGTGAGAGAGACGGGGCTGGGGCGAGTGAGAAAACCACCAGGTTCGGGACTCAAACTGAGGCTTGCCATGTGGGAATCCAGTGCCTTTTACAACTGCACCACCTGCCAGCCCCCATATTTTACTCTGTTTTTCTATGCAAAAATGCATCCTAGGGGTCGGCAGGTGGCATGGTGGTTAAGGGCACTGGACTCCCACATGGCCTACTGCAGTTTGAGTCCTGGATTTGGCGGCTTGCTTTCTCCTTTTCCCTCTCTCTCACTCTGTCCCTCTCTGGTCAAATTAAAATAAGTAAGTAAATAAATAATATTAAATAAATAATTCTAAAAAAAGAAAAAAAAAAGAGTATCCTGACTTTTCTGCAACCCAGTATTTGTATTCTCTTCCCCAGAATTGAATCATAAGGGTTTTTTAAGATTTATTTGCATGGGATAATTCAATTCTAACATAGTCATAAGAAAGTCACTGTATGCTATTTGAATATTAACTTATTCAGTATTACTGTTGACTATTGATTATATAATAAGATAGAGAAAGCCTTTTGATTCTTTAAGAATGTAGTTGTGTAGAAATTGTGTATTATTTGAATTTTATTTTTTTTAAAGAGGGATTTTTGCTACAGGGTACATGTATTCATGGAGAAACAGACAGAAAGCAAGAAATCACTCCCCCCAAGGGAGGATGGCCACACCACAGTCCTTTCTCCTCCATTCTCTTCTCAGGATTTTGAGTACACACACACATACGCCCAGCATGAGTTTTAAACTGCTGGGTCTTGGGCTCAAACCATGGTCAACTACATGGGAGTCACGCAATATAACCATTATGCCATCTGCTGGTCCATATTATTTGAATTTTAACATTTTTGATGGATAAAGTGGAGAAATATTTGTTAGTAAAATATCATTTTTATTAAATACTAGTCAATCATTTGTTTAACAGTATTTATTTGGGTAACTATGTCAGGCCCAGTTCAAGGCCCCAGGAGTACAGGGATGAATAAGCCTTTATCAAGTTCATATTTTAGTGGGGGAGAAAGGAAATGAACAAAGCTGTCATGTGAAGAAGTGATAAGAGCTGGAGTAAGGGGAGTATGGGGTGAGAGTTATTTAGTAGATTAATCGGGGAAGACTGTTCTGAGGGAAGCAGGAGCCTGAGTGAAAAAGAAAATCTTTCAAAAGTTATTTCCGGCAGAGTACCCAGTAAATGCAAAGATTGTGAGTCAAGATCTAGCTTAGTAAGAACCAGTTTGGTATGTTGGAGGAAAATCAAGAAAGCTGGTCTGACAAGAGCAGTGAGGACAAAATGGAGAGTGGTAGGAGATTAGGGAGAAGAGGTAGGCAGGAGACAGAGCGCATTGGACCATCTGTAGTTCAAACCTCTGAGTAGAAAACTGGCTAGCAGGTTCTGAAGCCCTGGAAGCATTTGCATTATTCTAGGCCTGTGATTTCCAGTGTGCAAGAATGAACTATTACGGCTGTATTTATTTTTTTTTTTAAATTAAGCTTTACTAATAGTTAATACTGTCACTGTGTGCTCCTGTTCCATCTGCTTCTCAGTTACGTGTCACGTATGATTTTAAGCCTGAGACACCGGATGAATGCTCAGTGCTGTTTGCTGAGATGAAAAGAGTGAAGGAGGAACAGGGTTTGTTCTAGGATGAGCTGGGGAATCAGGAACTCAGTTTTGGACATTTTAAGTTTGAGATACCTTCTAGAAACCTAATGAGATATATCTAAACCATTGACCTGATGATTGAATTTGGAGCCAAGAGTAAAAAAAAAAAAACAAGATTAGATATCTAAATTTGGAAATTGTTATATAGGGTCAATACCGTATATAGCACCTTTGGGGCCAGACTCTGTGAATGTTAACTTCATTTCTGCCACCTACTATATAGTTGTGAGTAAGTTAGTTGTCATCTCTCTACTTCATTTATCTCATCTACAAAAATGGGGGTAATACTTGCTTCATAGTGTAATTCTAAGGATTAAATGGGTTAATAGAAGCAAAATGCTTAGAGTAGTGTGGCATGTACTACTTACTAGTTGTTAACTATTATTATCAGTTTATCAGTGAAGTTTAAAACTATGAGATTATCAAGAGATGACATAACTTAGACAATGAGTGTAGAGAGAGAAAAGGCCAAGAAGGGAGCCCTAAGGTAATGCCACCTTTAGGACTCAGAAACTGGAAGGAAATGACTGAGGAGGAGTGAAGTGGGAATCAAATCAGAATATGTTTGCCAGAAGTCTGCCTAGTGAAGAAAATATTTCAAGGGGACAAGTCATCAACTTGGAACAAATTATTGGAGCTTGAGTAAGATGAAGACCAAGTATTAATCATTGGGTTTATCAAGATGGAAGTTGTTGCCAGCCTTGTGGTTTCAGTAATGTGGTGGAGATGAAAACCTGATTCTAATAGATTAATAACAAGAATTAGAGGTACAGAATTGGAGACAGTGAATATAAACAACATAGTAGAGGAGTTTTGCTATAAAAAGAAACAGAAAATGAGTGATAGCTAAAGGAAAATGTTTGGGGTCAAGTCAAGGAAAGGAGGGGGTGTGGTGTTGATTTAAAGATAGAAGATAGAAGCAGATTTATATGCAGATGAGAATAACCCAGTGGGAAGAGAAAATCGATGATATTTGAGTGACATGGAAAACTACAGCAGCTCAACCTTGAGTAGGTAAAATGAGGTGATTATTTGCTCAAGAGGAAGGGGTTGGTCTTAAGATGGTGGCAGAGACAATTCTTCCATTGATGAAGGTAGAGAATATTAATGGAGATACAGATAGACTGGTGGTTTGGTTATGGAGAAATGAAAGAGGGACACAATCATTAACTGAAAGGCAGAAGTGGCGAAGAGGTTTGTAAGGCTTGAGAGAAAGAAGGTGATAAGATTTTGGAAGGTGGGAAAATTATTTGACTAGGGGAGATTTAGCAGGTAGATTGTCAATGAATTCAGAAGGCCTATTTGACATTTGTGATCATTAGTTAAAAATTATTCTAGTTGTCTAAAGAGGGAAACATAGTCTTTTTTTTTTTTTGGAGAGGTTTTTGCTATAGGGTTTGTGCACTTGCCAGAAAGACAAAGAGAAACAGAGAGATAGAAAGCTAGAAATCACCCCTCATGGGGGATGGCCACACCACAATCCCTTCTCCTCCATTCTCCTCTTGGGATCTTGGGCACACAACGCACACGTGCCTAGCGTGAGTTTAAGCCACCAGGTCTGGGACTCAAACCGCAGTTAGCTACATGGGAGTTTAGCGACATAGCCATTATGCCAACTGCTGGTCCCAGGAGGGAAACATAGTCTTAAGGGGATATATAATGTAAAGGTGGTGGGAGGATACCTTCTTTATGTCTGTTTTAAACCTCTTTAGTCCTGTGATTTAGAGGATTGCTCCTGGAACATTCCTCAGGTCTATGGGTAGGCAGCCATAGAGAAATTAATAAAATGGATATTCTAAAAATCATACTTGCTTATGTTCATTGTCTTTATCTTTCTTTTTTTGGGGGGGGGAGGTTTTTGCTATAGGGCGCGTGTGCTCACCGGACAGACAGAGAGAGACAGAGAGACAGAAAGCGAGAAATCAGCCCCCAGGGGGGATGGCCACGCCACAATCCCTTCTCCTCCATTCTCCTCTCGGGATCTTGGGCACGCATGCACACGTGCCTGGCGTGAGTTTTAAGCCGCTGAGTCTGGGACTCAAACCACGGTCAACTACATGGGAGTCTAGCGATAGCCATTACGCTAACTGCTGGTCCCCATTGTCTTTATCTTGATGTCTTATGTAGGATGAACTCTTAGAATTGCTTATGTGGCCATCTCTCCTTGGATATATCTATTTTTGTTTGTTTGTTTGTGAGAGATTTTTTTTTGCTATAGGACACATGCACTTGCCAGAGAGACAGGAAGCAAGAAGTCACCTCCCAGGGGGATTGACTATGCCGCAATCCCTTCTCCATTCTCCTCCCGGGATCTTGAGCACGCATGCACACGCATCCGGCGCGAGTTTAAGCCACCGGGTCCAGGACTCAAAACGCAATTGACTACATGGGAGTCCAGCAACATAGCCATTACACCAACTGCTGGTCCTGATACAGCTATTTTAAACAAATTATGTCAAGCAGATCCTGGGACATTTTAAGTAAATTATACTTGGCTGTTGAACTATATAAAGAAAATGAAATGCTCTAATGGAAAAGCTCCATAGTTTTTCCTGATATACACAAAAACCTCACAAAATTTTCCTAGGACTGTGGTTTCTGTTATCTAGAATTATCTATCACTGATATGGATTTCATACTCTTGTGTTTGATTCAAGAAATTCAAAGTCTGGTTTTCTTTTATTTCAGGTGCTGGAGAATCTGGTAAAAGCACCATTGTGAAACAGATGAAGTAAGTCAGAATACGGCCCTCTGTAAGATTAGATTTCCTCGGAATACATAGAAGTCTGTAGTCTCTTTTCATTTTGGGTCCCTAGTATTGACTCTGTGGTTTTCTTCTTTTTTAAGAATCATTCACGAAGATGGCTATTCAGAGGAAGAGTGTAAACAGTATAAAGTAGTTGTCTACAGCAATACTATACAGTCCATCATTGCGATCATACGAGCCATGGGACGGCTAAAGATTGACTTTGGGGAAGCTGCCAGAGCAGTAAGTGTTTTTCATTTCCTTTTCACTCGCTCTTGTTTAGTAAATGCAATTAAGTCAAGGAAAATTTACTTCATGTTTTAGGGAAATGATTTTAAACAAGATAAGATGTCGTAAAGTACTCTGTGTTCATCTGAGAAGTGTTGCACTCTGCTTTAGAAGATATTAGGTTACCACCACAAGGAGTCTTTGAGAAATGGGATTCTGTGGGTATACTGTAGGTATACTGTGATGGCTGTTCTATTTAGTTGCTTCTTTCACAACCCTGTTGATTTTTATAGTAGTTTATAATAAGTAAAATAACTAAAGTAAAGCCCTACTGTGGAGGACTTTACACACTGCTGAGATGCTGTGTTTCTCAACCTGGGGCCACGCGAGAGGCCTGGGTTCAATTTTGGTCCAATCTAGAGGCTGGGTACAGTGGGGTGTACCTGTAATCTCAGTGATTGGAAGCTGAAGCGGGAGAATCGCCAGTTTTGGGTTTGGCCTGAGCATCCTAGTGAGATCCTGTCTAGAGAAGAGCTAGGTACATGCCTGTAGCCTCAGCTTAGAGGTGGAGACAGAAGGAACTAATAGTAGTACATTTAAATAATCTTAAAAAAAAAAATGGTTGACATGTATAGCTCTGTTCTCTGAGATACAGAGGTTAAAGGTGAAAATCAAATTTCACAGAATAAACTGTAAGGATATGAGCACTAAGTTTAAATTTTAGAGGAGGAAAAAAAATTTAGAGGAGATTTTTAGATACCTAAGAATATTACACGCCTGTGTGACATTGAACTATAAGTTATAGAGTGGGGTTATACCACATACCACTGTAATTGTTTAATGCCTTGTATATGTAAGATACTACAGAGTTGTACTGACTAATTATAACAATATTTAGTGGACCCTAAAGGTCTAGTTTGTAAATTAAGCTGTTTGATACCTGTGGGGAGACAGAGAAAATGAAGGCAGGAGATTTTTTTTTTAGCTTTTCTTCTTTATTCATGATAGAGTAGGTGTGTATAGATGTGAGGACTGGGAGAGAGGAAGGGCGAGGGAGAGATCAGTTCTCTTAACAGAGTAGTCAGGCTCCCATCCTTTTCCTGCAGTCTTGCAGCCTGTTGGATCCTGGGCACTCTCATGCATGCCTGGTACATTTCTGGCTGATCGGGCCAGGGATTCAAACTGGCAGTCGCAGTTGCCATGTCAGAGCTAGCTCCTCTTGAGCAGTGTTGTTATTGCTATGCCACAGCTAGATTCCAAGAGAATGAATTATCTCCTAGAACTAAGGAAGTCATAAGTTCTGTTCAGAGTGTCCTACTAGATGCCATGGAAAAATAAAATAAAGTGACTTGAAGAGTTTGCCCAGAAAGGGAAAGCCTATATGTCTGTGGAGTAGCTTGGGAACTCTTATAACAGCTCTCAACTTAAAACGTGCAAATTAGGGGCCAGTAGATGGCGTACTGGTTACATTGCTGGACTCCCATGTAGCTGACCACAGTTTGAGTCCCAGACCCAGTGACTTAAAAACTCATGCCCGAGCATGTGTGCATGCGTGTCCAAGATCACGAGAGGAGAATGGAAGAGAAGAGATTGCAGCATGGCCATCCCTCCTCGGGGGTGATTTTTCTCTCTCTTTCTTTCCAGCAAGTGGACGGTGCCCCATAGCAAAAATCTCTCTTACAAAAAATGCAAATTAACATTCAGTAAATAAATGGGAAATTGTCTAAAGGAAAAATATTGAAAGGGTTGTCATACTTGTATGATATTAGACTAAAGGAAGTAGAACTATTGATAGATTAGGTGTTGTAAAATGGTAGGAGAGAAGAGTAGCAAGAAAGAAGGGAAGAGAAATTATGAGTGTGATTTTTTATATCTTTATAAAAAGGTGTCATATCTTGGGGCCAGCAGTGTAATGGCTAAGTTGCTGGACTCCCATGTAGTCGACCGTGGTTCGAGTCCCAGACCTGGTGGCTTAAACTCACGCCAGGTGCATGTGCGCATGCCCAAGATCACGAGAGGAGAATGGAGGAGAAGGGATTGTGGTGTGGCCATCCCCCGTCGGGAGAGATTTTTCGCTTTCTGTCTCTCTGTGTCTGTCTGTCTTTCTGGTGAGTGCACATGCCTTATAGCAAAACCTCTCCAAGGAAAAAAAAAAAAAAAGGTATCATATCTTGGAGCCAGCAGGTAGCATGGTGGTGAAGGCACTGGATACTCCCGCATGGCTGTCCATGGTTCAAGTCCTGAACCTGGTGGCATGCTTTCTCACTTTCTTCCCCCTCCCCCCCTTTGTCTCTGGTCCAATTAAAACAAATGAATGAATAAATAAAATTAAATAAATAATTCTTAGGAAAAAATAAAGGTACCATATCCCATAAATTAGAGACTTTTATTTTGCTTTGCCTTTGAGCAAGGAAGTTTGATAATTCAAGAAGAAATAGAATCTTTATTCTTTTTGTAACCCTTTCTATTCCTCTTCTCACTTCCTGCTTTCTTTTCCTTTTTTAATCTTTGTACTAGCTGTCTCTAGTGGTCTGGGTTTTATTTTGTTTGTTTGTTTGTTTTTGTTTTTGTTTTCCCTCTTTTTTCCTCATTTCTCCTTGTCACTTTACTACTTCTGTTGCTTTTGGTGTTACCGGATAGCTGGTCAATAATACTGTATTGTTTGCTTTTCTCTCTGTTGCTTTTTTCTCCACATCAGTAATTTACTTCTCTTGGGTTCTCCCTTTTTCCTTTCATTTTTTTCTTTCTTACCTACTCTCTGCCCTCCTTCATTTCTCTTGATCACTCCTCCCCCTTTTCTTTCTTTCCTTTGTCGAATCAGTTGTCATTCATCTCTGGGTCCTGACATTCCTGTATCACCGGGTATAGTTGACACCATTACTCCCTCTCAGGCTTCCTGAATCATCTGGCTTTCCAGCATTCCCCCATACTGATCTATAATACCGTGTATTTTTTTAACTTTCTTTTTTTTCTTTCATAAGTAAGGATTTATATTTGTAAGTCTTCTCTTACCCTCCTCTGGGTTTTGTGTTTTTGTGTGTGTGTGTGTTTGTATTTTAACACAGGATCTTAGGCTGGCACTGTAGCCTGGTGGTTAAGGGAGCCAGATCCCACATGGCTGACCACGAGGTTTAAATCGTGGCCCCAATGACTTGAAAAACATACTGAGTATGTCTGCCCGAAATTTCAACAGGGTGGAGAAACAGGAGAAGGGATTGCAGTGTGACCATGCTCCATTGGGGGTGTTTTCTCTCTCTCTCCCCATCTCTCTCTCCCTTTCTCTGTCTGTCTCTCTCATAAGCACATGTGCTCTCTGACAAAAAAAAAAAAAAAAGAGCGAGAGAGAGAGAGAAGAGTAATATAGATCTTTGATAAGTTTCTTAGAGAATATTGAGCCTGCATTGTTACTAGAAAGAATATGGGGGGGAAATATTAAAGGAGGAAATATTAGGCCAAAACCATTAAGTCTGAAGACCCAGAGTTTGACGAAGTAGTTTGGATGCGGTCTGGGTAGTTTTGTTTTGCTTAGGCGGATACACAAGTTCTAGTAGTGCATAAGTCTCAGGAGTTTTTGGTTGTGATTCTACCTGTGGTCCGAGATGTCTTGTGCTCATTAGTTGTTTTGTGCTGATAACTGTTTAAGATGTCAGTGATTATCCCCTTTACCTTTACCTGTTCTTTATGCAAATGCTGTTTTTAGAGTCTGGATTTTTATAATTTGGAATCTCTTGAGGGTAGTAAATATTGATTTGGGTGAGAAAATCATCCCATGAGACCTGTTTATTTTATTCATAATTTTTTTTTAGGATTTTTGCCACAGGGCACGTGTAAAAAAAGCAAGAGATAGAAAGAGGGAAATAAGAAATCATTCTCTAGGGAAGCTGCCATGCTGTCCCCTCTCCCTCATTCTCTCAGATTTTGTGTACACATGTACATGCACCTGATGTGATTTTCAAATCACCAGATCTGAGACTCAAACTGTGGTTGGCCATGTGGGAACCCAGCATCTTAACCACCATGTCACCTGCTGGCCCTGAGACTTTTTTATTTTTAAACTGACAATAGGGATGGATAGAATGAAGCAAAACAAAATTCTCATAGCCTTTTTCTGTCTCCTCTACCTTGCATGCATTTTTTTAAAGTTTTTGTTGTTGTTGTTTTAAGTTTTTGCTATAGGGTGAGTGTACTTGCTAGAGAGAGAGGGAAAGTGAGAAATCACCTTCCAGGGAGGATGGCCACACCACAGTCCATTGTCCTCTTGGAATTTTGGACTTGCACACACATGCACCTAGTGTATTTTCTAAGCCTCCAGGTCCAGGACTTGAATTGCGCAGTCAGCAATGTGGGAACCCAGCTGCTTTAACCACCACGCACCTGACTGGCCCCCTTTCACACATTTTAAGTTTAAACACTATAACCATTTAGAAATTATGTCTGTGACTCATAATGTTTTGATCACATTTCTTTTTTCTTTTTTTTGGAAAGGTTTTTGCTATAGGGCACTTGCACTCACCAGACAGAGAGACAGAGAGCGAGAAATCACCCCCTAGGGGGGATGACCACGCCACCATCCCTTCTCCTCCATTCTCCTCTCGGGATCTTGGGCATGCACGCACATGCACCTGGCGTGAGTTTAAGCCACCGGGTCTGGGACATGAAGAGCAGTCGACTACATGGGAGTCCAGTGACATAACCATTACGCCAACTGCTGGTCCCTTGATCATATTTCTTTTACTTTCTTTTCTTTCTATTGCCTTCTTCCCCTTCTCTCAGAGTATTGTCGTTATTCCTTTGGTGAAATTTAGAGACTCTGAATTTTTCTCTGAGGGATTTGTCTTGCTCCACTAAGCATTTAGACTTCTTCAATGACACAGTCTTCTCTTACTGTTCTTCTCTTACTGTATCTGGGCTGAAGGAGAAGAAGAGAATAGTCTTGTTTTAAACTTGATTAATGTCTTACTCCCTTTGATGTGTTTATGTGCTGGACTTTTCATTTCTGTTTTTATTGTAGGGCTTCCTTTAACAGAATGGGAATGTATTACATGTACCTGTCTCACAGACCAGTTTCTTCCTATTAAAAGTCATGAGTAACCAGGAGATACGTGGGCTGATCAGAAGAGATTTTTTTTTCCTGGGGATAGTAGTGTGTTACAGAGTGGGAGGGAGTGGGGCAAAATTGTTCCTCAGCTCAGTTCTGGACTTAAAACTACCGTGGAATGAGAAGGGGGGAAACTTAATTGTAATTTTCTCATACTGTGTACCTGAAGAGGTCTTTGTAATACCTCTTTCATACGAATATAACATAGCATATGTATGCATGCACATGTATGTTTAAAGGGACTATCGTCTAATCTTAAAGAAATGGAGAATCATCCGTTTCTCTTTCTAAACTGCTTTCTTCAGGATGATGCCCGGCAGTTATTCGTGTTAGCTGGCAGTGCTGAAGAAGGAGTCATGACTCCAGAACTAGCAGGCGTGATTAAACGGTTATGGCGAGATGGTGGGGTGCAAGCGTGCTTCAGCAGATCCAGGGAATATCAGCTCAATGATTCTGCTTCATAGTAAGTAATTTTTCTCTGTGAAACTATACCCAAAAATAACTTGGTGACCCTAGAAAAGCTCAATGCCCATCCTTAAGGAAATGCTTAAGTAATAGACACTCTATAGAAGCCTGTAGGATCTTTTATAAAGATTGTCTCAGTTTAGGATTATAGAGACCTTGTCACTTGTATGACTTGGGGAAAAGGTTCCCTTGTGGAATATAAATGGGAGACCTGGCACCACACTATTAATTTCATGTTTGTTTATAATAAACAAGTAAAGGAGGAGTGATGTCTATTGTCCTGGATTTCTTTTAACTCAGTAAGTTCCCTCTGCAAGAAGGACTTGGCACTGATGGCCAGAAAGGGAATTAGAATTGTGGTGTCCCTCTCTGTGTCTGAGCTGCATTATAAATTTCTCTGGTACTAGTCCATACCTGGAAGTGTTTTACCAGGTCACAGTAGTAGACTTTATATAGAAAAAGAATGTCACAAAATGTTTGTTTGTTTGTTTTTAAAGAGATTTTTGCTATAGGGCACATGCACTCACAGGAGAGACAGAGAGACAGCAATCACCCCCCCTGGGGTGATGGCCACACGGCAGTCCCTTCTCCTCCATTCTCCTCTGAGGATCTTGAGCATGTATGCACATGCTCCTGACCTGAGTTTTAAGCTGCCGGGTCTGGGACTTGAACTGTGGTTGACTATATGGAAGTCCAGTGACATAACCATTATGCATCTGCTGGTCCCATGAAACAAAGTTTGAAGCATTGTTTCATTTTTTCTTTTTAAGAGAGATTTTTGCTATAGGGTGCATGTGCTTGTCAGAGGGAGAGACAGACAGAGAGATAGAAAGTGAGAAGTCACCCACCAATGGAGATGGCCATGCCACAATCTCTTCCCCTCTCAGGACTTTGGGCATGCATGCACACATGCGTGGCCTGAGTTTTAAGCCACTGGGTCCAGGACTTGAACTGCGGTTGACTGCATGGGAGTCCAGCAACATAGCCAGTACACATCTGCTGGTCCAATGAAGTAAAGTTTAAAGGATCTTCTCTTCTCTTCTCTTCTCTTCTCTTCTCTTCTCTTCTCTTCTCTTCTCTTCTCTTCTCTTCTCTTCTCTCTTCCCTTTTCTTCCCTTTTCTCTCTCTCTCTTTCTTTCTTTCTTTCTTTCTTTCTTTTAGAGAAATTTTTGCTATAGGGTGCATGCACTCACCAGAGTGGGTGAGAGACACAGAAAAAGCAAAGTCTCACACACACACACACACACCCCAGTGGAGGTGGTTGTGCCACAATCCCTTCTCAGGATTTTGGGCATGCATGCACATGTGCCTGGCCTGAGTTTTAACCCTCTAAGTCCAGGACTCGAACTGCAATTGACTACATGGCAGTCCAGCAACATAACCATTTTGCCACCTGCTGGCTCTGAAGCATCTTTCCATCAAGGAAATTCTCCTGGGTGTTAGATAGTTTTAGAGAACTTGTAATTAATACTTCTGTTAAACTATTATGTACAATATTGTTTTGCCTTTTTTACCCATATTTATTTATTTATAAGACCTACATTCAGAATTTATATTTTTTGAAACACTTTTTGGGGCTTGGTGAGCACTTGGTAAATGTATCCTATCCTTTGTACTAGATGGAATCAGTTTTAAGAACTAAGGTATTTTCCCCTTTTTCCTCCCTTCCCTTCCCCCACTTCCATTCCTTTCTCTCCCCCCCCCTTTTTTTTTAAATTCCAGAGGACCTGTGCATTCATCAGAGAGAAAGAGAGAGGGAGAACTCCCCTCTCATGGGGCATGGTCATGCCACAATCTCTTGCTCTCTATTTCTGTATCCTCTTGGGATTTTTTTTGGCACCTTTGCATAGGTATCTGCTGTGATCCTCAAGCCCCTGGGACTGGAACTCGAACCTCAATTGGCCATGTGGAATCCACCTCCCTTAACTGTTATACTAATTTTGGGGCCAGCCCAGAAGCAGACTTTTGTTTCACCTGAACAAAGTTTTAAAAATGTTAAGATATTTATAGTTTGTTTTTGGCTTAGATTAAAAAAAGACAAACCTCACCTAAATATGTTTTCTAAAACAGTGTTCATTCTCACTGAATCTTCTTTTTTCAGTTGCCAGAGGGTGTGTGCTTGCCAGAGAAAAAAGAGAGTGCATGTGCAAGCAAACACCCCAAGTCAGGTGTGGTCATACACTTCAGTTTCTCTATCCTGTAGGATTTGGGGCTATGGGGCATGCAAATAGACATGCCCCAATACAGTTTGTTGGTATGCTGGGGCTGGGATCTGAACTGTGCTCAGCCATGTAGGATCTGGCCCCTGTATATAGCACTTGACTTCTGTACTACGGGGCTGGTCATATAGAGTCTTCTTAATTTTTTTAATTAAAAAGAATTTTTTTAGAATTATTATTATTATTTAATTTGATCAGACAGTGATAGAGAGAGAAAGGAAAAGTGAGAAAGCAAGCTGCCAGATCTGGGACTCAAACTGCGGTTGACCATATGGGAGTCTAGCACCCAAACCACCACACCACCTGCTGTCCCCCAAGTCACCTTAATTTTCGATAATTCAAACTCTATTCTCTAAAGTTCTATCAAAAGGTTAAACATGCAAATGACTTATTATATTTAAATGTCTGAGTACTTTTTTATTTAATAAGAATAATAGACCTATGTTATTTTTAAATTGGCCTTTATATTTTCTTTGTTTTTGTTTGTGACATAGGGTGTCTGTGCTTGCCAGAGAGAAACTGAGAGGGAAAGTGAGAAATCCCCCCCCATTAGAGGATGGCCATGCCTCAATCCCTTCTTCTCAGTTCTCCTAGAATTTTGAGCACGCATGCACACATGCCTGGTGTGGTTTTGTTTTGTTTGTTTGTTAAAGAGACTTCTGCTATACAACTTATTTGCTTGCTGGAGAGATAGAAAGCAAGAAATCACTCCCAGGGGAATGGCAACAATGCAGTCCCAATTTCATTCTCCTCTTGGGATTTTGGGCATGCACACACATGTGCCTGGCATGAGTTTTAAAGTGGTGAGTCCGGGACTCAAACCGTAGTTGACTATGTGGGAGTCCAGTGTAACCATTACACCATCTGCTGGTCCCATCCTCGTGTGATTTTTAAGCCAATGAGTCTGGGACTGAAACCAAGGTTGACCATGTGGGAGTCCAGTGCTATAACTACTACACAACCTGCTGGTCCCTATTTTCATTCTATAGAATTAACACCACTTTTGTTAGTCTACATAGAATCTACTTTAAATGTTTATGTTTGATTCACATTTTTTCTCATTACCTTTTCTGTAATACTAGAGATCTGATTTTGTTCTGCCACTTTAGTAACAGGTTTAGAATCTACTTTTAGCAAGGAATTAAGTTTGGTCTGTTGACTCGCTCCATGGTCTGTTGACTCGCTCAGCATGTTGTGCATGTGATTGGTTCCATAGTTGAAAATAAATGTGTATTTTATTTAGTTACCTAAATGATTTGGATAGAATATCCCAACCCAACTACATTCCAACTCAGCAAGATGTTCTTCGCACAAGGGTGAAGACCACAGGCATTGTCAAAACGCATTTGACCTTCAAAGACCTTTACTTCAAGTAAGTCGTTGTTAGTCTTTTTGCCAAATGTGCCAAGTACCAGTGTCTTTTCCTTTTATTTGCCTCTCTTAAGCAGGATAACATTTCTCAGGGTAATAGTCGGCTTAGAGACCTATCGTCATGCTCATCAGCCATAATTTGAATGTTTTAACCAAATGGGGATCCAGACATTTCTTCTTTCTCCAAATGACGCCAGATATTTGTGTCTATTTGAAAGAATTGAAGTTCAAAATTAAATTGTAACTTCTATACAAATAGAATTAATCATGTGATTACTGACTTATTTCATTTTATTCTTTTCAGCTGCTTTTTTGTTAGAATCATCAAAACAGGTATTAAATGCTTGTTTAGAAGAATAACAATATTTATTAAATGATAGAAAAGTAATTTTTTGGTTAGTTATGTGGCTTTTGTTCTGCCATTTAGACATTAAAGTAGAAATGCTTTCCTCACCAGTGTTACTCCTTTCTTACTGATCACATTTCGCTTTAAGTTTTAATGAAGTGAAGTTAGTATTCTCATGGCTCTTAGACTGTCATGCACAACTGAATTCTTAATACAGTGTGAGTGGAAAATTGACTTTGGGGTTAGAGGTATTTGGGGATGCTATGATGACATAAAAACTGTTTTGGAGAGAGAAAATTCTAGTTCTTTCTATTGTTATTTTGTAGTTTTTTAGTTTTTGCTATAGGGTGCAGGCGCTCACTAGAGAGAGAGGCAGAGGGAGTGGGGGGAGTGAGAAATCACCCCCTGGGTGGATAGCCATACCACAGTCCTTTCTATTCCATTCCATTCCCTTTTGGGATCTTGAGCATGCATCCACACTAGCCCATTGTGTTTTTCAAGCTGTCCTGTCTGGTACTAAAACTGCACTGTAGGGCCTGTGGGCTCCAGCTGCCTCAACCTCCATGCCACCTACTGGCCCCTAAAACTCTAGCATTCTAATACAAAGAACTTTCTTTCTCATTAGCATTAGTAATTCTAAAATAGACTTCAGTTGTCTCCATCTTGTCTTTTGTAAACATTAGAACTCTAGTTTTGCTTCATGTTTTCTGCTTTTGTGACCTTTGAGCTTAGAAATAAACTTGCCCCCTTCGGTATATGATGTATTTTTTTCGTGACCACATTGTGCTTATATATAGAATGTGGTATTTAGCATTATTGCGTGTAGATGTACCTCAGATCTTCTCAGTTTTCTCTTCTCCGAAAACAATTGCTCTACAGGATTCGTGAAGTCCATATAGGGTTTACGTATTACTAAGTATTAGTTGAGGTTTTGAATTAATACCCCAAACTGGATTTGAAACCTGGTGCAGGAAAAGAGTTCAGCAGAACGTTTTTAGAACAAAGTATCTATAGTACTGATGAGTTGGCTTAACAAGAGCAGTAGACACTACCTGGTTCTGGGAAACGGTAAGAATGATATGTCTCTCTGTACTATAAGATAAGCAATCTGTGTATAATTAAATGTGTGGGAAAACTTTCTTGTTGTTATCATATTGTTCTTTACTCTGGTAAGTCCTTACTGTCTTTTATGCCAGGATCAATAGCCAGATCTCACTAAGGTACCACACCCACCTTATTGTCAGCATATAGATATCTTGTTATGAAGTACTATCACTTCTTCCTTTTCCTCTTCTCTCTAGGCAAAACCACTATCCATTTATTCAAACATTTATTGAGCATCTACCATATGCAAGGCATTGTGTAATTGCTTACTTGCCTCTCAGTTATGAGGTAATGTTTATAAAATGTTGATCTGTTAGTGAATGATATTATAAATGTTCATATGTACTGAAAGCCCACTTTGGAACGTCACAGTGTTCTTCTAATGTTAAGGACTTTATAGAAGAGAATGGAGGAGTAAACTTAAATTATTGATGTACTGGTGTGTCTCCCCTTGAAAGACTTCCATGGTGAAATATATAGTGTTAGCCTTTCTAAAACCTATAATATGATCTTATATTAAAGTCAGCTTGTGATTGTATTATCCCAGATGTCATAACCAAAGGTTGAAAAGAACTATGCAAGATAACCAAAAGGAAGAGTTGGGTCATGAAGTGATACGATGAATGTTCCCTTTCAAATATGCGTTGAGAAATCAACTATATTGTATTTCTCTCAATCTCTGGGTGGGAGGGGATCTGTGGAAATTTAGGCTCGTAGTCTGTAGATCTGACCCATTAAACCAACTTGACAGAGTTTAGCCTTTGAAGATGTTATCATTGTCATCAAACATAGACGTTAGGGATGCCTTACCTGTTTACATGCATACCTCATCAGACCCAAATAGCCACCAAAAGACTAAACAGTACCGGTGTTTCTTTCACTGTAGAAGATAAATGAGGACATTGTTGACAGAGGATATCAGGCTGACACAGGATATTAAACAAGCTCCTCAGAAAAGAGCAATGGACTCAGTCAAATCCAGAGTAGAACATAAAGTAGGTGAACAGTTGAGATTTCCTTATTTATTAACTAGGTCCAAGTAAGACCTGGAGTTAGGAAATTTTGGTTAAGTTTTTTTTAATTTTTTTTATATTAAGGTAATGGGTTCTTAGCATCCTACCAAAAAATACAGTTTTCCCTTTTTTTTTTTTACAGTTAATCTCTAAAATAGTTTTTCCTTAAACTGAGGAAACTAATGCTTGAATTAGTAGAGAAAAAAATTATGGGAACAGAATGCAAGGTGGGGGTTAGAGGTAGGCTGCTTTGAGAGCTAGAGTGGTAGTGTGGATAAGAATACGGACTCCGGAGTTAGAGTACCTGGGTAAAACCCCAGTCCTCATTTTTAAGTAGTGCATTCTTAGGCAAATCATTTTAATGTATCTGTTCCTCAGTTTCCTCATGTGTTAAATGGGGATGATGATAATAGTAATACTTAGAGAAGTGTTATGAAAGTAAAATGAGTTAATGTTTTGAAGATATTTAGGGTAGTGTCTAGTACCATGGTGAGCACTCAATAAATATTAGTAGTTATTATCTTTAGCTGTATTATTCAGCTCTTCATTTTTCCTTTTTTCCTCTTCTTCCTTTAATCCATTTGAGTCCTTATTCTGCTGATATTTGGCATGTCTAATACAGGCTTGATAAAGAGGACATTCAGCTATCTAAAAATATTTACTTTATTTCGAAATTTTATTTTATCATGTTGTCTTTCATTTTTAGCCCCAGATAATTATTTTGGCTACATTTGACTCTTTGTTTGTCTTTTCTACTATAAATGAGTATACAGTGGTGGGAAGTTTTCTAATCATTTCAGTTTAGGGAGAGGTGTGTGTGTGACCATGCTGAATTTGTGCTTTCTTTCCCCTTACTTAGAATGTTTGATGTCGGTGGCCAAAGATCAGAGCGGAAAAAGTGGATTCACTGTTTTGAAGGAGTGACAGCCATTATCTTCTGTGTGGCCCTCAGTGACTATGACCTTGTTCTGGCTGAGGATGAGGAGATGGTATGTTGGAGCTTCGGGTGATGTGCCAGGGAATAGAAAATAACTCACAGGGAGACTGCGTCCTTCTGCTTGCTCATGGAACCAAAATTTAATATCCTTAATTTTTCTCCTTGCTGGTGAGAATAGATTTCCAAAATGTTGATTTGTGCTTTGTTACTCTTTTTTTTTTAAAAAACAATTTTTTAAAATAATCATTTTATTTAACTTCATTTATTTACTTATTTTAATTTGACCAGAGAGAGAGAGAGAGAGAGAGAGAAAGTGAGAAAGCAAGCCACCAGGTCCAGGGCTCGAACTGCAGCTTGCCATGTGGGAGTCCAGCGCCCTTAACCATATTTCACTAGTTCCCCTGTGCTTTGTTACTCTTAAGAGATACGAAAGCCACACTGAGTATACGGGCAGCATTAAGTCTTCTTGTCAGCCAGTCCTTCTTCCCACCTCCCCATCTCTGAGTGTTACAAAAATTAGGACTAGCTTTCATGCCACCACTGTCTGACTTACTTCCGTGAGTGCCATTCCAGTGCTTAAAAATAAATTGGTCCAGTTTTTCATAAGTTCATCCACATTTACTTCTTACTGCTAACCTGTCATTCCTTCTTTCTTTTCAGAACCGAATGCATGAAAGCATGAAACTGTTTGACAGTATTTGTAACAACAAGTGGTTTACAGACACTTCAATCATTCTTTTCCTTAACAAGAAAGACCTTTTTGAGGAAAAAATAAAGAGGAGTCCATTAACTATCTGTTATCCAGAATACACAGGTAGGGGTCATGAAAGACTTCTATTAGAGGTTCACATCTTTGATCAAAACTTTCATACAACTTTCTTTAGCTTTGAATGATTCGTGTATATCTTTATAGAGCATGTTCACTGGTAATGGTATCAGCATCAAACGTGTGTAGGATTCGTTAAATAGTCCAGAGTGCTATTTTAGACTTAATTGAGTTTTCTGTTTATTTTAAATTTCTCTCATCTTTTGAGGAAAATAAAGGGTATAAACTAAAATTTGGTATATGTTCAAGAACAGATAACTCATTGGAAACTGACATCTAGTTGTAGAAGGACACACACATAAGACATTTTACTATAGTATAAAATGTTCATTTATAGAAACAGAAGTGGTTACTGGTAGGGCTAGCAGGTGGTATGATGGTTGGGTCACTGGACTACCACACGGCCAACCACAGTTCAAATAATGATAACAAATAAAATTAAATAATTCTTTTAAAAAAAAAAAACAAATGGTTACTGGTTACCTCTGATGGAGCTAATATAATCTTTTTTTAAAGAATTATTTTATTTAACTATTCATTTATTTGTTTTAATTTGACTAGAGTGAGACGGAGAGGGAAAGTGAGAAAGCAAGCCACCAGGTCCAGAACTCTAGCCGCGGTCAGCCACATGGGAGTCCAGCGCCCCTAGCCATCCTGCCACCTGCCAGCCCGTAGTCTAGTCTTTTGTAAAGGAAATGACAGTATTAAGAGGAGGAATTAGTAGTCATTGGGTAGGGGGACCAGGAGATGGCATAATGGCTACATCACTAGACTCCCACATAGTTGACCATGGTTCGAGTCCCAGACCTGGTGGCTTCAAACTCACACTGGGCGCGTGTGCCTCAGTGCCCAAGATCCCAAGAGACTGGATTGGGGTGTGGTCATCCCTTCTGGGTGATTTCTTGCTTTCTGTCTCTCTCTCTCTCTGGCGAGTGCACACGCCTTATAGCAAAAATTTCTCTAAAAAAAAAAAGTCATTGTGTAGGGACCAGCAGATGGCGTAATGGTTATGTTGCTGGACTCCCACATAGTCAACCAAGGTTCGAGTCCCGGACCTGGCAATTTAACCTCATGTTGGGTATTGTGCGTGCATGCCTAAAATCCCGAGAGGAGAATGGAAGAGACAGAATTGCAGTGTGGCCATCCTTCCTGTGGGATGATTTCTTGCTTTTTGTCTCTCTGTCTCTCTCTGGAGAGAGCAGGCGCCCTATAGCAAAAATCTCTCTCAAAAAAAGTCATTGGGCAGATGGGGGAATAAAAGCATTTAGTAAAAGGAAACTGTATATATGAGAATATGGGGGTAAAAAATGGCATGATTTCTACTGGAACCTAGAAGGAATTTGGTGTTAACTGGAATTTAAATTAGTAGGCAAGGAGTGATTGAAGAGATGATCAGGGGTCAACTCATGAAAGGCTTATGTCTCATGCTGGCATAGTGAGAAACTATTGAAGGATTTTAATTGGGTACAAGATGTAGTAGAAACTGCTTTAGAAAAATTACTCAAGGAACCAGCAGTTAGCATAATTGCTATGTCGCTGGACTCCCACATAGTCGATTGTGGTTCGCATCCCAGACCCGGTGGCTTAAAACTCACACCAGGCACGTGTGCGTGCGTGTCCAAGATCCCTAGAGGAGAATAGAGGAGAAGGGATTGCAGTGTGGCCATCCTCCCAGGGGGTGATTTCTCACTTTCTGTCTCTCTGTCTCTCTCTCTGTCTGGTGAGCGCATGTGCCTGAAAGCAAAAAATAAAAAAATTTTTAAAAAAATTACTCAATAAGGGAACCAGCAGTTAGCGTAATGGCTATGTCGCTGGACTCCCACGTAGTCGACCGCGGTTCGTGTCCCGGACCCGGTGGCTTAAAACTCACACCGGGTGCGTGTGCGTGCGTGCCCAAGATCCCGAGAGGAGAATGGAGGAGAAGGGATTGCGGCGTGACCATCCCCCCTGGGGGGTGATTTCTCGCTTTCTGTCTCTATGTCTCTCTCTGTCTGTCTGGCAAGAGCACGCGCCCTACAGTGAAAATCTCTCCCCTCCAAAAAAAAAAAAAAAATTACTCAATAATTGGTAAGAAAAATAGTAGGGGAGTTGAGTTAGTAAAAACTGTCTTAAGATGCAGATAAAAATTCGTGTTGAGGATCAAGGAACATATAGAATCCAAGGGCAAGAATGCAGACAGTTTCTAGAACAGAATTAGAAGTATGAAATAGAAAACTATCAGGAACCCTAGAAGCAGTCTTATCTCTTTTTTTCTTCTCTCTGTGTATCTTCTTTTCTTTCTCTTCTTACCAGCTGTCTCTGCTGCTTACTTTGTCATAAAAGTTGGTCTTGCCACCATTTCTGTATCTCCTCCACTAAGAAGACTAGGCCAGACTGGCATTGATTTTTGAAAAGAAAGGAACACACCTCTAAGGTCACTACAAATAAGTGCCAAAGAGGTAACTTTTTAAGCAAGATGGTAGCCTAAAAAGTTGAGATGTAGATTAAGCCCTGTGGCCTGTGTTTCCCCAGAGAAGTCGGAAATGTGGTCATCTGTCTAGAGTAAGGAATGAGAATTAGATGAGTTTATAAAAAGTAGTCAAGTTTTAGGACAGGGGAATTACTTAAATGAAATTACTTAAATTCTGTGGAATTACTTAAATGAAAGGACTCGTCATAATGTGAAGGCTCAGCTGGAAGTCTTCACATACATCAAAGAGGCTTCAGTATCATCATTAAATCTATTTTTTTTTTTATCTTGCAAACTTCTGAGCCTAATTGATTTATTTCTACTTAAAAGATTCAGATAGTCTTGATTTGCTAAGCAGTTCCTACCTGTCAAAATTCACTTTTCACTCATCCTTCTTTTACTTATAGAGGTGGATCTACAGAGTTCAAGAACTGTCCATTAAGTAATTAAGTATTTACAAAGCTGTTTTCCTTCATTTGTTTAGTTAATATTTTGTTCTTTGTTAAGTTCTTCTTTGTGATCTAGTCTTCTTTATGTGCTTAGCTGTTGATGTATTTTTTTGTGAGTTTTTTTTTTTTAAAAGAATCATTTTATTTAACTTTATTTATTTAAATTTGACAGAGCCAGAGAGAGTGAGAGAGGGAAAGTGAGAAGGCAAGTCATCAAGTCCAAGACGAACCACGGTTGACCATGTGGGAGTCCAGTGCTCTTAACCACTACACCACCTGTTGACCCTGAGAGAGAGTTTTGCTATAATGTGTATGCACTCACCGGAGAGACACAGACAGAATACGAGAAATCACCCCGCAGGGGGATAGCCACACCACAATCCCTTCTCTTCCATTCTCCTCTCAAGATTTTGGGCATGCATGCTCATGCGCCTGGTGTGAGTTTTAAACTGCTAGGTCCAGGACTACAACCACAGTCAACTATGTGGGACTCCAGTGACCTAACCATTACACCATCTGCTGGTCCCAGTATTTTTTTTTTCTTATGCTTAATGTCACTGAAAATAACCTGTAGTGTGTTGTAATAACTGTGTGTTGTCTTTGTTATGTTTCCCTGGCTTTGAAGCCAGTTTCTAAGGCAACTTTAAAGATGGTGTAAAAAACAGGTGATTAGAGTGCTGATTACAAAACTTGCTGAAAATGGGGTTTTTCTTTTGGTTCCTGCTACCTTGTCTTTAAAAAAAAATAACAGCTTTATTGAGATAGAATTCACAAACCTTAAAATTCACCCTTTTAAAATGTTTAATTCAAACCCCCCCTTTGCATCTGTTAGTTTTCTTTTGGCTATTTAAATTATTGCAAAAGGCTGAACCTCCTTAATACTGTGGAATTATTTTAAAAAGAATAACTTGCTCTTTCGAATTGTTTATTTCAACATCACTCCAAGGAGGATAGGCTCTCTCTGACCTTTTAAACAATTGTGCTCTCTAGAAATGCATCCTCCTACTTCCCTAGTTTCTCTTTATTGCTTCTAGTTTTTTTCTTTTTCAGCTAAAAAAATCTAAATAGAAGGAAATGAGAAACTTAAAGTTTTCCATCCATCTTTGATGATTTTATTGTAGTTACAGTGAGAGTGCTCTCATGAAGAACCTAATGATTACAGAACACTCTAATGATTGCAGAAATACAGGTTTCCTTTTTTTTTTGGAGAGATATTTGCTATAGGGTGTGTGTGCTCACCAGAGAGACAGAAAGTAAGGATCACCTCCTGGGGGGATGGCCACACCACAATCCATTCTCCTCCATTCTTCTCTTGGGATTTTGGGCACACATGCATATGGGCCTGGCATGAGTTTCAAGCCTCTGGGTTTGGGACTTAAACCACAGTCAGCCATGTGAGAGTCCAGTGACCTAACCATTACATCATCTGCTGGTCCCAGAAATAAAGGTTTCTAATTGTATTCAATTGAGTCATGCTCCCTCTTTTCATAAGCAATGGTGATAATCTGCCTATATGAATTTGGGCAGCTGTTATCATTTGCACTGACAATATCGAATGTCTGTTTTAGGTTCCAACACATACGAAGAGGCAGCTGCTTACATCCAGTGCCAGTTTGAAGATCTGAACAGGAGAAAAGACACCAAAGAGATCTACACTCACTTTACCTGTGCTACAGACACCAAGAATGTGCAGTTTGTTTTTGATGCTGTTACAGATGTCATCATTAAAAACAACTTAAAGGAGTGTGGACTTTATTGAAGAGCAAGAATGTTAGTAAAAGGTAAAACTTGGAACAGTTTAGTTATAGTACTATACAGTGATGTCTGTTGATGGTGTAAACATCTAACTGAGAATGTTCTTCTTTTCTAGTTACTGCGATGCGGAGTATTGAGACCAGACATCTTTTGCTGTCTTGTGGGGCAGCTGCAAGCATGAACTGGACCAAGGAATGGCAGCAGCATGCAGAATCCTAGCACTCTTTAGCACAGTCTTCTGTATTAGGGAACTTTTAATTGATGAGATGCTAAAGTCAGACATTGGAATTGAAACAACTGTAAAGTACGATTTGATCATCCAGACCTCACTTGAATTTTATAATTTCAGATGGTTTTAGGGCAGATGTGAAATTGAGGTGCTGCATTCCGGAACTTCAATATGTAGCTTACTCTTTTATTTTCCTTCTTAACAAACCACCAATAGTTCTTTTTTAAAGTTTTTTTTTTTTTCCATCAAGAGAAGAATAACTTTACTAATTTTTATTTCTTTGTTTGCTAAAGAATCTTTATTAAAACACAAACAATCTTTACTATGCACACAATGTGACCAGATCATCTTAAAAATATTCCTCTTAGTAGGAACTCTTTGTTTTTAACTCTTGGTATGGTCAGAATATGGTATTTCCATAATTAAAATTTTTTCCGGTTACTGGGGCTATAAATACAGCTTTTTTTGGATGAAATTTATCACTATTCTGCTCAGAGTACCATTACGGTTTCTAAGAGGTAATCGCATTGAAGAGTTCTGCAATAAGATTTCAGCTATCTCTTTAAGCTTATGGTTGAAGGTTAACCTTGTTTATTATGCTGTTTACCAAATTACTCGATAAGTGCTGATGCCCTATGATAAAGTCAGCTGCTTGGATACAGACACACCTAGGCAGCTGCCAGTTAGAAATTCAAATTGCTAAATTCCAAAAAAGAACCAGTGACTTTGCTGCTACATGTCTACTAAATTGACCACTTTGATTCTTGCTTGTTTGTCTCAGTCATAGGGAATTTTGTACAAAGTGCCCCTTGTTTCCATCTTCACGGCTTTTTCTGTTGGGAGACATCGAAAGTGTATTAACAGTGCATGCTTTACTTTGTAAATGTGCCAAATCCCTGTCTGCCATTGTTTTTACTGTAGCAATGTTAACTAGTAATCAGTCCTTAGTACTTTCTTTTGCTGAACTGTTGCATATTGATACTTTTTCTACTTTGTCATGTGTACAGATTTTAATCTGTTATAGTTGGCAGCAGTATTAAAATGGTGAGTAAAGAGTCCAGGATCGCTCCTGTTTGTAACTAGTCCTTTCTGGATATGTCTTCTGTTTGTTTTTGCCCCCGCTGAGTGTGCTTTGCCCTTTAAGAGTGGGTTTGAGAGAGGGTTCTCTGAAGGTCTAGGGCTTTGGTGTAGTAGTGATGTTGAATCTTGGCCTAAGACTGAGGGTTTTATATCATATCTGTGTACAAGTGACAGTCATAATCCATTTTTCAGATTTCCATTTTGCTTATGTGGAGAGCTATATTCACTTCAGCATGCTGGTCCTTTTGTACAATGTTCAGTAAATGTCAGTAAATACTGAAGGGTCCACTGAGGGAAGGCAAATGAAAAGGCTGTATTTTGAGCATTTCAGAATTTGTAGTTTCAACAGTGCCTTTTGGGGTCCACTCTTTTTGGATCGGATTCTATTTCATCTTTTGATGTAGTTTTAAATTAAAAAAAAAAAAAAAAAAAAGGGGGGGTCCACCAAGCTTTCTAAAAGGAAAAAGCCACAACAGTTTCAAGCCTTTGGTAGTTGTTCTTTTCTTATTCTTTCTGGAAAATCATAACTGTGTAACTGGTATAACTGTATTATCTAACAAAATTTCTTTAGGGGTGAGAAAATGATCTGAAAAAACATTATTAGCTAATTGGTGATTGACTTAATGCCCACAGTGTAAATAGGGTTGATAGTGTGTATTCATTTTGAATGTATCTTTTCCTTTTTATTGTATTCTGTAATTTAGGAAATGAGAACTGGTGGAATATTATTTTCAGTTGTAGCCTTTCTATACTCTGGGCCAATGGAGTGGTATGGCTGATAATCTGACATAACAGATAATCCCAAAATGTTCATTTTGCTTTGAAGTTCATTTTGTATTTTCATTTGAATATGTCTATCTGGAATGTTCTGTTTTTACACCTCTGTTGATGAAAAACAGTAGTTCCCCACTTTTCTGCCTCTATGCCATTTACATTTGTTGTTTATATGAAGATCACCATTACCCCTCCATCCTAAATACCTTATCCAGTGCACATTCCTTCAGGACACAGTGAGGCAGTTTATATCAGTGGTTTTCAAAGAGGACTTAAGTTCAAATCACCTGGATCCACCTTAGGGATGGATTCTTGACTGATGGGCTGACAATGTATAGTTTTTAAAAGGTGATTTTAATCATCAGCCAGGCTTGCAAATCACTGATTTGTATTTTAAAATAAAAGATCTTTCCTTATAGCAGAGCCAGAATGTGGATGAAACATCAAATCTACTGGCCTGGAACAAAAGGACTGATACTTGTAATCAAAGAAGCTAAAGTTGCTTTGCTTTTTCCTCTGAAGAATACTGGAGATTTGCAATGGATAATGTTTCAGAAATCAGGTGGTGAGGCTTTGGACCATCCTAGAAGTCAGCACATCTAAGAAAATTAAAGTTTAATGAATAAAGAACAGTAGATCTTAGCAGGAAGGATTGCAACCATGGCTTTATTTAGTTGACAGCCACACTTTCTCCTCCTGATTATAACCGTGGGCAGTAGAATCACCATCCATTAGTATCTGTGTAAAGAGTAAGTATCCTCCTTAATGGACAGTCTTCCCTAACCTTATCAGTTCAGCCTTGCAACAGATTTCACTTACCAGCATGGAAATTCTGAAAACCTATAATACAATTATTTATAAGTGGATCTTGAGGTGACATTTACAATGGACATTTTGAATTCTAAATGTCTAGTTCAGTGTGTCATTTTATTATTTTCACTTATGGATTGTTATTTTTCACAAGGTGCTGCAATCTAAAGAATAGATGGACCAAATTGTTAAAAAAAAGTTTCCTTGCTTGTTTATTTCTTATTCTCATATGTGTTCTATTTGTGTTACGTGTACATTGTAGACTACTCAACAATAACTACTGATGTTTCTTACCCATCCATGCACCCTGAATTCTTACGTGCTGGGTACTGTTCTCTGATTTGTAGCTATGAGTTTCTTTGGACATTGCTTACTTAACCTGACTAGTTTCTTCATATATTTACCCGTTTACTTGGCATGGGTGACATGGTTTTGGGGTTTCTGGTTACAGAACTCGAACTCCTTGCTGTGTTGCAGTTCTATATAAGGTAAAGTCAGTTTCTCATTCCAGTTAAAAGCCCACCATTGATTTTTTTTTTTTCCCATTCCAAATGTTCAATCAAATCGCAATGTTCTTCTCACTTGTACACACCTGAAACAGCACTAATCTCCTTCAGTTTTACTACTTGTGGGATCTTTTCTTTCGTATGTAATATTGACCTTCAGAACAGTGTCGTCTTATGGGACCAGCAGTTAGCGTAATGGCTATGTCACTAGACTCCCATGAAGTCGACCACGGTTCACATTCTGGACCTGGTGGCTTAAAACTCACACCGGGCTTGGGTGTGTGGGTGCCCAAGATCCCAAGACAAGAATGGGAGAGAAGGGATTGTGGCATGGCCATCCACCCTGGGGGGTGATTTCTTGCTTTCTGTCTCTGTCTGTCTGGCGAGTGCACACGCCCTATAGCAAAATAAAAACCTCCCCCACTCCCCCACCCACAAAAAAAAAGAACAGTGTTGTCTTAATTTGTCAGTCCTGCCAGGTTACTGTATTCCCCTTCAGGTTTCATGGTACAAATCAGAGCTGACCTGGGCCAGCCACAGCTTCCCACATAGCTTTAGGACCACTGTATTTTGTTACGTTGCTCCCAACAAGCATTAGGAGAAATAAAGCAGTCTTCCTGGAGGCCTCAAATTGAAAGTTGATTTTGCTGTCAACTGTCAGTAACTAAAAGAAAGGTTTTGTGAGGCACTGGAGAACTCCTAGGATGGTCAAGGTCTTTATTCCTTTATCTTTGTTTAACTTTTAAGATTCACTCTCCTTCCTTTCCCTTCGAATTTTTCATTACCTTTTATGAATTACTTCTGCTGAGGACAGCATAGTTCAGAACAAGTCAGGGCAGGGCAGTTTTTTTTTTTTTCCTGATACCATGCCAAGCCTAGGCCTGGCCATGCCTGTCTTGACTCAAGTCTTTGCAGGAGAAGAGGTAGTAAGGAATGTAAGGTAAGTAGATACCTGGGGTGCGTGACTAATCTATATAGAGGCCCTGGTTAAACCCTAATAAACTAAAATATCTGAATACATATTTTAAAATAATTTCCTCAGATGATTTTGTTGCAGCCAACTTATGACAACATTGGAGATAATTGAATAGAGCCTGGTATTAAAGACCTGACGTACAGGGGCCAGCAGATGGCGTGGTGGGTAAGGCCTAGACTCTCACATGGCCAACCACAATTCAGTCCTGGGCCTTGCTTCTCTCTCTCTCCTTTTTTCTCTATTGAGCATGAGTGCTCTATAGCAAATCGTGAAATAATAATATATAAAATTAAATAATTTTTAAAGAGTGACATAAATATTAAAAGTAAACAGCATCACTATACTCATAACTCCAAAATTACTAGTGAATGACTGAGTGACTGAGTTGTATTTTGTTTGCTAGAAAGTAAGAAGTGCCTTTTATGCATGACATAAAGTGCCTTCCATCAAAGAAGTTACGAGGACTGTTTGGTCAAAGAATATTCATTCCTACATTTTTGGGAACCAGCAGTTAGCGTAATGGCTATGTCGCTGGACTCCCATGTAGTCGACCGCGGTTTGTGTCCTGGACCTGGTGGCTTAAAACTCACGCCGGGTGCGTGTGCGTGCGTGCCCAAGATCCTGAGAGGAGA